ATATAATCGATTTGGATTGTGTGACGTTTAGAATCGTAATAACGTGTCTCCAGTTGTCTTTTTCTCTTTTCGACGTCTTTCTTCATTTCTTTCTCGCTAGGAAAAGGTACTTTATTTAAAAGTACCTGCACAAACCATCTGCTTTGTAATTCGTCAATGGAAAAACTTCCACCTATCGCTTGAAACAATCCGATCACACCCAAAGTCGGGTGTTTCAGGTGCGTAGGATATACCAGTTTGTATAGTTCCACCCGATTATCGGTGGTGTCTATGATATTTTTGCCGAGGAATGGGAATTTAATGTCGTACCCCGTGGCTAGGATGACGTAATCCACTTCCGTGACGTGCGAATCTCCCTGGAAGACGATGCCCTTCTCTTCGAATCGCTGTACGTCTCCTTTAACCGTAATTCTACCGCTGAGAATACAATTTGCAACGGAATCGTTGATGGTGGGATGCTGCTGAAAGAATCGATGCTCGGGCTTTAACTGGAAAGCTTTGTGATCGAAACACCTATTCAAGTCTGTTTCTATCCACCAAGACGAGACATTTATTGGCGCTAGTCTCAAGCCGATAGAGAAATATCTCGTTATGAAAGATTCGTCGTTGGGTTTACCACCTTTTCCTACTCGATTTATAACCCAACATCCTCTACGAGTGCTCCAATACACCTGCAATGAAAAGTATTGTACAGTACAATTTTTTAATATTGGATTCTCTGAAAGTTACGAGTTAAATGAAAAAAACAAATGTAGTACATACTGTATAAAAGTATAAAATAAGTAGCTCTTAGAGATTCAATAATGGATATTCCGCGTTAGACAGGTTTTTTGGTCTTATAATCAGGGTTGTGGAGTCGGAGTCGGAGTCGTGGAGTTTGGTAGTCCGTAATACGGGAATTTTATGGCTTCAACCCCACCAGTAACCGAGTGGATGAAACCATCGAACAATGACCATGGATTAGCGCCTTGCCACGGGCTGGCTACGTGGAATTTTTCTTGAATTTTTTCACCTTTGTAACACCTAAATAGGGGCCAATTTTCTAACAAAGTCCTACTGGGAGGCCTTCCTCTTGGCAGATCGCTACGTGTCGCGTTGCCGTAACCAAATAAACCAAACCAAACAATGGCTTCGTAACTAATACTCACGTTGCCGCGAGTTTACAGATTTAAATATATAAATTCTAATTAATAAGTAAACGCGTAGATTGGTACAAGCCTCGAACAATACGCGCGTGTATTCTTCCAGTTTCTCAAAGTGGAATCCACGGACTCACAAAGGGTGAACGAACAAGTTTCGCAACATCCTCGAAACGTTCAGGAGGGTGCGTTAGATCTCCTCCGTTAATTCACATTCACACTTACGCACATACTAATTGTTTACGCTCAAATGACAGACTGATCTTTCATTTAGCGTGTTAGGTAAATGCTGATCTATTATGTCCCTGCGCATTATTTAATATATACGCACGATTTTGTGAAAGTAAATTGACGTAACACTAACAAAACTTAATTGTTATATTCAAAAAGGGTCTTACCCGTTTAGCCACGTTGCAAGTTTCGACAGCGGCGTCGGCTCCCGAATTTCCCGTTCCAATCACCGCCACTCTACCGTCCCGAAACTCGTCCGGTCGTCTGTACGCCTGCGTGTGTAGAATTCTCCCGCGAAATTTCTCTTGTCCGGGAAATTTCGGGATGTTGGGATACGCGTGATGCCCGTTGCATATCATCACCGCATCCGCCTCGTCCCGTATATTTTCTCCGGTCTTCAGATTCACAGCCGAGACGATCCATCTTCCCGTGGCATCGTAGTCCTCCGACTGTTCCACGTTGACCACTCGATGACGGAATTTTACGTCGGCAACCAAGTCGAAGTGTTCGGCGTACATTTGCA